GCCGCGGGCCACGGGAGAAAGGTATATGTCGCACGAATAATCATGATGTATCGGCGGCGCGCAGGGCATTGTCTCGCGTGTAGCACGAACGAAGCGATGGCTGACTTGACGTCGCCGGAGTCGTTGCCGCTCGGCTCCGACAGGAAGTTAAAGGCGTAAGTTGTCGATGATAAAGCCTGGAAGGACGACGTAAAGCTGGGATCAAACATCGAAGGATTTAAAGGACAAAGCCACGCTCACAATCGACGTGTAACTGACTGGGCCCACTCGCCATCTGGATCCGGTGTTAGTTCCTGGGATGGGCATCCGGGCAAACCTCATGATGTAGCGTACCCAGAATTTGTGTTACAGGTTTTTGCGGCCAAAAAAAGGAAGCAGAGGTAGAAAATCACTACGGCCAGGGGTGGAGCACCCGTGAAATGAAAAGTAAGAGCCTGTGATGCAGGAAAGGTCAAGATGACGAGGACCAAGACCAAAAGACGTGTGAGAGTGAGTGAGGAAGAGCTCAAAGACACTTTGAGGACAAGGACATTGACTTGAAAGCAAAAATGTGCGGATGGAAGACAGGAAGACACAGAAAAAGGACGATGTAGGCGCAGAAAGAAATGATCGGATCATACCGGAGTCCGGACCGACTTCAACCGCCCGGCGATTAAACATCTTGCCTTCCTCTGCCTTCCCGAGCCCCGAGTCCCTGTCCAGTGACACCACCAGCAAGATTCTTGTTTGATCTATCCTCATGTATTTTGGGTCTATTGGTCTGGCCTTGCCAATCCCAATAGTTTCTTGTCTTTCTCAGTGACTCCACGGGTTCAAGTTAAGTTTGCTCATTCTCGCCTAGTCAACCTTACATAAATTATCCGCAAGGGCGACAAATTTCGAATTTTCGGAATCGCCCGCTTGCATTTTCCCGTAGTAGAAAATTTATATAGTCCTGTATGCTGAATTGAGGAAGATATTTCTTATGTTTTACTGTAGGCAATGATTGCCAAGATGCCCCTACCCACTACTTTCAACCCCTCAGCTGATTGAAGTTGGCAGTAAATCTTACCGTGGAACGCTTGCGTACCTCCTCGAAGTTAAAATAGCTGGGAACTCTATGTCTTTACCTCGAATGACCACTGGAAGTGGGTTTAATAAGTAGCGCTGCTCTTATGTAACGATTGGGACAGATCCCGCTGCAGCGTCACCCAGCGTTAGCAATTATCGGTACAGCAGTGGCTTTGTGAAAGTCGGAAGCACCATAGAGGGAGGTGACCGCATAACATCTCGTCCAGTTCCGATTTATGAAGGAAATGCCTGCCTCCATTGTTACATTTTGACCTGCCGATGCACACGTAAAACAATTACATGCCGTTGCCAGCAGAAGCAGGGGCAGTCCAATGTTAGTGCGGCCGCCCGATTGGGAGCCATACGTCCACAGAGTGAGAAAGTGCAGTTGTTCATAGAGACTTGCCAAGTAACAAGAAGCGCGGAATCGTGAACACTCAATTCCTTTCGAACGAATTGACATGCCAATTTCATGCTGATTTTGAACTGGGGATAGATTTGCAGTAATATACAGATGAGCGGCCCCGCGGTTGCAGCTACTCCTGCAGATGAAAGATGTCTCTCGGAGGAATGATACTCAAACAATAACGGTGCTTGCGTTGTATAAAAAAACTTGAGCCTACCGCTGTATCGGAGCGGGAGCCAGGGCCGCGGTGGCAGATAGGCAGGGCAAGAAACAGTACAAGTACGTAAAACAATAAAGTGGATCGTAGTCTCTGCTGCAGCGCTGAACGGGTGTAGATAGGGACACGGTGGCGACTTGGTGAAGGTCACGGAGCGAGGGAACTCGGTGTGTACCGCATTTTTGCAATGTTGATTTATAAAACACAAAAAAACTACTGTCTACTGTCCTTAAAATCGGTAGATTTCTCAAATTGATTCGTTGCATCTGACCTGCCAATTGAACTTCGGTAGGAATAAATCAGTGCTCTCTGTTCACCGCAGCTGCCGATCTCTCCTTCGGCGGTCGCATCACTGGTTTCTGCGGTGGTTGAACCGCAGATGCGAGATGCTGCTTATGCCTCCTTATTGTTCTCTTAATCTATTATCTTGATTTCACCGTGGCCTGCAACCATTGTGCAGCTGTTTGCTGCTGCTGTGCGCTGCATCCGTAGCCTCCTGAACTGCAGACTCAAACCAACATCGAGCGGTCGCAGACAGATCTGAGGTAAAACAAGTGCACGGTATCCTACCAGGCATGATTTAAAACTTAGTCTGGCTCACTCACACATTGGAATCCAGCATATTTCTGTGGTCGCGGCATTGGCAGACTGGCACAGCCTTAAGTTTGTGTATTGTAAATCTTGCCTAGGCTCCTGCCGTAGAAGATTTACTGCACAGGTACCGCAGCTTGGCATCGCCATGAGCGGCCGCAATTGGCAGGCAAATCCAAGCTACATTCAAACTCTTGAATTCAATATCGAGTTTCATTGTGCCACCTGCAATTGTGTTTTTGGTGCAATGAAGATGTACAGCTTCGGGACGGCAGCTCGGGGGGGGGAGGGGGACGTCTGCACTATACAAACTAGTGCAGATGAACAATAGCGGTGCCAAGAAGTTTACGGAAATGAACGAAGTACTCTGACAGCAGCGCTAGCTATGACAAACGGGCGGCTGCAGGCATTGACTGGATAGCAGGCGCCGTGGCGACGCAACTCAATTAGTTGCTATTGTTCATCGCAGCAGGGGCGGCCGCAGAGAAACAGCTAGCCCCTCGGGCATGCAGTAGATCGTCCGGTCTCAACAATACTCAACAATAGAGCTAGAGGTGTGTGGCCGGCAGCGCTTCTTAAGCTTGAGTTTATGTAAAACAATTAGAACTGAATAATCAGAACTGGCCACGAGGAGCGTGCTTCAGAGCGGCAACAGTTGGGCTGGATACAGTACTTACAACTTAGCAAGGAAAGGGTTGATGTCACTCGGAGCTTTGCTTACAGTCTGGGCGAATTGTCTTTTATTTTTTTTGTAATTGCCGATTGACTGCCGACGCAATCTGCTCAGCGGCAGATGAGCGGGAGACGAGCGGCAGCGGGGCGGCCGCTGAGTTTCCGGGTGGCTGAAACGATCCGTTTTAGCCGGAGTTTCGGTACACCTGGCACTGCAGCCGGAACTTATTGTTTCGGTGCCGCCGAAGCGGTTCCCGATTCTTTTGTCATCGGGAACCGTTTTGTGGTGGCCAATATCTTTTGTTTACGAGCGAGCAAAACTGCTCCTGAAACTAATAGTTTCAGGCGCAGTTTTGGGTCGGGAGAAACCGCTCCTGATACGGAAAATTTCGGGAACTCGGAAATGGTTTCCGAGACGAAACGTATCAGTTATCCTTTCAGACACGCTGATATTTTGCATTTCAGGTGCCATTTCAGAGCTACTTGTACTGTAACCGATACTAACAGTTTCAGAATCGTTTTAGGGCGTCCTAATACATCTCTTTTTCCAGAGTGAGTGGTTTCATTCAGTCCGCCATTTTCTGTAGCGCATAGACCTAGATGGATGGTCGCTTCTGCGGAAGGTCCAGCCAGGTATTCTGAGCAGTGGCCCGAATTAACGTTCTTTCTGCCATATGAGGAAGGACAAAGGGGATATCGCGTGGGATAAGGTAGCGGAGGCGCCCGACCTCCTTGTACTCGGGACGGAAACCGGCCCATTTGCTGATACAGTGGGCCTCGTCCCACACAATGCTGATAAGACGGCGCGTGAATTCAGCCTTCTTCCAGAGTTTCGAGAAGCCGCCATCTTGCTGCATCAAAGTTTCGACGTTAGTCACGACGACGCAATATTTTCCTTCCTCGATGTCCTGTCAAAAATTGTCAGTTTGACACGACGAGATCGATATACAGGGCTGCTCGTATGCGAAAATTGTCCGCATTGGCCGTATCCGCTGTGATATTAATCCCCTTGAGGCCCATGGCTGCTAATTGCTGCACGTTCTGCTCGCCGAGTATATTTAGTGGGCTGACCACTAATTGGATGCCGGCAGTATTGAAGAGCAACAGAAGCCAGAACGTAAGAGTCTTCCCGGATCCGGTGGCGGCGATGCAAACAACATCTCCGTCGCGTTTAAGCATTGCTTCGACGACGCGGATTTGCCAGAGACATGGCTGGTACCCGAGATGCTTGAGGGCCCGAGCACATATTTCCAGTGTTGCAGCTTAAGGGGTTAATAACGGTAAAATTTTTGGTTAAGGCTTAAGGACGTAATTACGGGTTATTAAGGGTGGTCGTAATTAAGGCTTAATTTCCTAAAAGGGAATGCATAACAGAAATTGGCAGGCTACCTCTCAAACTTGGCCCTAGTGCTGGAGAGAGCACCATCATCAGGGTCCTCATCACTCTCCCCAGCCGCAGGAACCTTTATCATCAGTATCTCCCGGGTGAACTGTTTGGCCTGTGGTTTTTCGTGGCGGCTTATTGATATTGCCGCCGAATAAAAGTGCAAGCAAGTGAGGTAAAAAGTGGCTGGTTTGATTTTTGAGCGTCCAACAGAGGGGACAGGCTTTATTCCTGCAGCCTTCACCCATTTTGTTCACCTCAATCAAGCCCGAAATATCACGTGGTCATTGACACGTGCTTATCCTAAGGGGTAACTAACCCTTAAAAACCTCTCAAGTTTTGGTTAAGCCTTAATATTAAGAGGTAATTAAGCCTTAACCTTAATTAAGGCTTAAACCTTAACTGCAACACTGCCGGCGGCGTGACGGTATTTCCAGATGGGAAAGCTTCGGAGGCGTGGATGGGGATGTGAACGCAAATTTTGACGCGGCCGGAGCCATTTCGGGGGGGAGGCACGAGGGGAGGCGCGTTTTGGCGGAGGGGAGGCGCGTCGTACGGATGCGGGCGGTGCCGGGGTACTCCCGGGGTCCCATTGTGGCTATGTTGTTTCATTCAGTTCGTCACCTTGCATACACCTAGATGGATGGTCGCTTCTACCGAAGTTCCAACTAGAGGCAACAGACCCCTTAGCTCAGTGGTAGAGCGTCGCATTCCAGTCAAATGTCACGTTGGGTTGTATCGCGAAGGCCGTCCGTTCGATCCGGGCAGGGGTCAGTTTTTTCCATCGGTCCTCTATGATGCCAAGGCAATCATATCAATCGATGGCATCAATCGCCCAATTTTTTTCTGAGGCTCATCATCGTCGCAGGACCAGGGCCGGCATAAACTGGCGGAATGAAATGCTGGTTCAGTGATACAGAACACACTTTCCGAATAGCAAGGCCAGTCTTCTAATTAGACGTTCCACAATTTAACTCGCCGACGGTGAACCGGGAAATAAAGGCGAACCGCCGGGTAAAGGCTCTGCCTGAGCAGTTCACACGCCTCTCTACCGTCTACGAATTCACAGCGCCACTTCGTAAATTAAGCGGGCATTTTAGTTAGAAACACTTTACATAAATATCTTGAAACAAATGACTCGGCCCAAAACTCAAATTGATACATCTGTTTTGGTATTCAACAAAATCTAGTTCCTGGCACCATCTTATGTAAGGAACTCAAACACGATAAACTTCCGCGGTGACTTTGTAGAACTGTGAATTCTGGGGCAATGCCATTTACAGCTTCCAGAGACTCGGACATGAACTCAGCCCCCGAAGGCGACAAATGCTGTGGAAATCACGCTTCAAAAACGCCATTTCGGCGGCTAACCGCCAAAGTCATGATGTATGAAAGGTTTATTATAAAGCGATGCTTTTTGTGATTTTTACCGGTTTAATAAGACTGACTTCGAAAGACGCTTCGACTTGAGCTTTGAATATCATCGTGCCACAGAGGTGGACGAATACACGACGCTCCTCCTCAGAGTTCTGTCCCATTCTTCGAACCCTCTGGTCTACTCCGATGCTCGAAATCCACGTACGAGCTATCTCCCCTCTCAAGCTTGTCAGCGTAGACTTCAAGGTATTTCCCTCTTCTGCCGCCTAGCATGACTACGAGGCACAACACTCACCGCACACTTCGACAGGCAGCGATGTTGGAATCCGCGCGAACTCGTCCGGGACTCACCGCCGGAGTGGCCACCTCCATCGTCGCTGTATTGATTCTCTCGTTTGCGGCTTGTTGGACCCACTATCGTCGCGCCAGCCTCTCATCGATGATTTCTGTTTAACTTGGGGGATCGGTGAGGGTGCTTGATGTGCTTGATTTGGCCTGGGGGAAATCACTAATACTGCGACAGGAATTCACAACATGGGGAGAGAGATATGGGCCCTGACCCTATAATTTAGGCGCAAGCCACCGATATATGGGGTCGCCAATCTCCCCGGTTGTGATACTGGTGCTTCTTATCTTCAATACTCCATATCCCGAAGCCAAAGCCCCTTGGCTGCTCAGAACGAGGAACCTTCAAATGTACAATATCTTCGCTCCTGTATATGCTCGAAGATCTCGCGTCGGTACGACCTGATAATGAAGAGGTGTTCCTGACTCCGCAGCAGAGGGGGATAATCTGGCGCTCATCAGGTTATACAGCCTTCAAACGGGAAGGAATCAAACGTCTACGGCTATCGGGCTGTGACACGAACGCATTTCAACCTCACGACCTCACTCATTCGCACCCAACAAGTAGAACTATTCCCACATGAAGAATTATCCGAAATGTTTTGGCCTTGCGTTCTCGATCCGTAATGAAATTAGCTCATGATCATTCGCATCCTCCAAAAAATACGTCTTTCAGGCACGTATTAGGCGCCCGGAGTATCCGGAAAGGCTCGGTGGCGCGTAGGGCGCCTCGATGTTTGATGCACCTCTGGCATGACGGAAGTAGGAATCCCGTTTGATTTGGGGATGGGCCATGTGTCTGAGCGTCGTTAAAGGTTTTTGTCCCTCTTCCTGGGATCCGGATTATGAATTTGCATTTGTATCGAAAACAGCTCAAACCATTGCCAAAGTCTCCTGCCGCCACAGCAGAATTTAAATAACCCATCAACTCTCCGTGTCAAACAGCTTTTTTTATCCTGAGACTGAACATGGCACGCACTGCCACGCAGCCCTCGTAATCTTCAAGTTCAGGGGTTTATTCAATTCGAGGTCACGCATAAATTCCTTATTTATATATTTTGCTCCTTGTTGCAAGATTTCTCTGCCTGAAATATCGCCTCTCAAGCTCCCCTCGTATTCCAGGAATCGAATACCTGGTAAGGCTCGGTGGCGCGTGGCGCGCGTCTACATTCTGTTGATGTATCTCTTCCTGATGATGCAGAATCCCCGTTCGATTCGGGGCTGGGCCATATTTGCGCTTCTTCCTTCTTCATTTTTTTGTCATTGTCGTTATGTCCTTTGTTGGAGTGTTACCAGGTCTGCGATAATTTCCGCCCGTCCATGCAGCGTCTGCTCTTGAATACTACAACTACATTCTGAATTGCCTACCTATCAACGCGACTCGTCTGCGGGGTAATTTCGAGACCACCTTAAATAAGGCCTCACCCTTTGTAGGCTCAATATGGCGCGTGGCGGGCATCTACACTCTATCTCAATATGTAAGCGTACTCGTTGAAGCTTAAAATGATGCAGGAATCCCGTTGGGTTGGGGGCTGGGTCATAGCTATCGGGCTGAGGGCGATATATCTTTTGGGGGATCCCTCTATAGATTCTCATGATGGTAATGAATATAAATAGGACTTAACTTTTGAGGCGAATCGTTTAATATAACCTTCAAGGATTTATCTCGCAAGACAATGTCCATCCATGGAGGAACCCTGGACGAGGGATGAGATCCAGAATTGTCGTCGAAGTCGGAGACAGAGCTGAGGGCCGAGGAATCAGTATGGACGGAGCTTGGGCAACGCTTCATTTGCACAGCAGTACTTGTTTTATTATCATTATTCTGCATCCCTCTGTGAGTACCCTCCAGCAAAGATCAGAGGGCGAAAACGTACAATTTACACATAATTAGATTATAATTACTTGCTTCTCGAACCTCTAGACGTCGTCCAACGAGGACAGCGGGTCATCTTGAGCGCCTCGACGACGGGGTGCGTCCTGGCCGACGAAATGTATATCTTGGTGTTCCGTCGTGCCGTCATCCATCGTCGCGGAGTTTCCCACCCCGGCGCGATGCAAATTCAGCATGAGCCGCGAGATGAGGGTGACGGATAGGCTTTTGTAGTTCAATATTAGTTACCTATGACATCTATATGTAGAAGTCAAGGACGCACGAAGTAGTCCACCAGGAGAGGATTCCGGCGATGATTATCTTCAATAGATTCAGTTAGCATATCCATCGCTCAAGGTAATTTGGGCTGATAGGCGTACGTCTCCGAACTAAATATCGCGCATGTATTAGCAGTCGTCGAACGGGGTTCTGAGGCACACACATAGAGCGACAGGACATTCGCCAAGTTGGCGAGAACGATTATTCTGCGGGTTCCAATCAAATCAATAAGACAACCGCCGACGTTTGTAAAGAGGAAACAAACCCGAAATACATCACGCCTAACCCAGCATCGCGTCAACCTTGAGGAAGGTATCCAAAGCAAGACAAGAAATAAACACACCATCGCGCGCCATGCGGTTAATGAGCGAGCCCTGGACCATCTGAATCACGGAGCGCTCGGCGATGGCACGGCGAAGGGTGAGCCCGAAGACTAGGAGGTCGATCGTGAGTCTAAGAGAGGTGCGCTAGTTAGTTTGATACTCTGATTTAGCGAGCAAGGAGACGCACTGGGCTTCCCAGGCACCTGCGAGTCCTGGAACTTGTCAGTCAGCTTGGGTGGACAGAGCCTGGGGAGGAACGCACGGAGTGCGCTGCGGAGACACGACGTCTGAATTAACTAGCCACTTTTATAATTGTCCGTACTTACCTAGATCGAGGGATTGCGGTATGGCACCCAGTCATGCCTGGCGCTGTGAGCATCTGCGGATGACCCAATTCGATGATCGTCCACTAAGCCGTTAAAGATGTTCAGCACATATGGAGGGGAGAACTGTAATTGGACTGAGGTACGTACCAAGGCAAGGGCAGAAGCGACGCCCCCGATGGTAAGGAAGGCGGCGAGGACCCATAGGTTGAAGGCATACATGGAAACTACTCGGATGGTAAGGCTCACTACGGTGGAAATGAGTCGGAGAAACAACCAGTGGATTCGCAGAGTACACACCTACAACTAGACTCTCTTGTAGTAGCACGAAAGCTTCCAGCCCCCTTTCCAACCTCGAGCAGCTGCGAAATCCGTTAGATCGACTGGTAGACACCGCGAGCCCGATTTGAGATCATGCATACCTCTTCATGAGGAACGAATTAGCGAACAACATATGGAACCACGAAGAAAGTTCCTTACCTCGGGGCTCAAGTCACGGAAATAAAACACCAACATTGTTGCACTACAGACGAGGCAGAGATATCGGACGACAAAGAACCAATAGGTACTGAGACGTTTTCTGGAGTACCAGATAAGCTCGACCTCGGATCCCATGGTCAGTAGGTGGTCGTACACCAGAATGACTGTACGATCTGCTGAGTATAATGGAAGTTGATTCGGAAATAAGGCGTACCCAGCCCGGAGAGGAATATGGCGCGGTATATCCAACTGCACGCGTGTATTAACGAAGGTTTGAAATACGAAGAACGCGACGCACTGATCCCAGGCAAACGCTGCATAGTCCAAGCCGCCCATGGAGGAGGACATGTCCGTATACTGCGAGAGGGAAGACATGTCGATGCCGTGCCGTCTGAGAGATCTATATACGCCGTCCCGGAAGGGGCATTCTGCCGAGTGATGCAGGGACGAAACAGAGTTTGACGGTCTATACCGCATAGGTTATCGTTAGGCCTGTCAAAGCGTAGCCCATATGGGATGTGTCCCCAACATTGGATCCAGTCAAATGGAAGAAATTCGGGGCACGAGAGATTCGGAGAACAATAATAGGCTCCACATTCCGTTCAGACCAATGTTCGTCGCGGACTAGAGTGAAATCGGTCCAGCCACGTCACAAAAATTCGGAGATGAGCCCGTGAAATTGGTGCGAACTTCGAAGAGCAGGATTGATCATGGACGGATTGTGAATAACAGAGCAAAGGACAGAAGAGAAGGCCAGAGGAAGAAGAGAAACCT